ACCCTCATGGGTTGTCTCCAAAATGTCTCAAACTTCCTTAGCTGTCTCACACATAGACACTCTCCTAAATTCCTCAAGAGACACAGCCATAAACAAAGCATGCAAACCTTTACTATTCTAATTACATTCATCCAAGTTTGTTTTAGTCCACAAAGAAATATCAGTGGGTGTAACTATACCTGCAACCATTATTGTAGGCGGAATCCACCCATTTTGCACACAAATCCATATACGTTCATCTAACGCCTTAAAAAAAGCTCTCATTTGAACTTTCCAGTAGGCATAATTACTGCCATCAAAATATGGCGGAATGGACAAAGAACTACTCATCTAGACTAAATCAAATAAGGGCTAGGAATCGAAATTAAACTCTGATACCAATTGAAAAAATGCAAGATTCGACCCAACTACACCTAGAGGGGGGTGATTAGGTGTAAATGCGGAATTAAACTTCAATCAACAAGCAACAAGTCACAAGTTAATTATGTCTAGGTGATTAGTCAAACAATTCAATTAGTCCTATTTTTGAATATCATATTAATATCAAAACAGTAAGAATAGTAGTAAACAACACCAGAATTGTTCACGGAGAAACCCAACGCGGGAAAAATTCCGGACACTTTGCCGTCAAAGATCAACTATAAAATTTTAATGAACTTACAGACTGTTCGCAAAATATTCCCGCAAGTGTACATGTTCGTTGTACAAGTAATAATTATGATGAGTGAGTTATAGTCCCACAGGAAATAAGGTTCAATTTAGTGTATCCGATGTATCTAAATTTGTAACAATAATAAAATATTGTTGATTTGTTTTTAACTACGTTCTATGACTAAGAAAGTAATAAAAGAAAGAAAGTGATTTTTAAATCAATTGTGGATGAATGTATTGGATTTCCGAATCCACTACTTTACTCTAGAATTTAATTCTCAATTTGTGACAATTAATTTAATCATTGCATTCATGACGATCGATAATTCCACTTTTATTTATTATTCTTT